GCTGAGGGCACTAGGACGCTGCCGAAAACGGCACAGAACTGGATGAGATTTCGGCCGACTTCACAATGGTGATGACACTGGTAGTGGCTACTTTGGTCGGGGTGATGGGCCCCCGCGCCACGGTACGAGCGAAGGTCTGCAGCGCCTCGTACTTCGAACGCAGGGCATCCAGCTCCAGCTTCATGCTGCTGTTTTCTCTGGCCAGCTTCTCCACCTCCTGCTGCAGCTCGACCCGCTGCCTCTCCAGCTCCTCCTTCTGCGTCACGCGCTTGATGCGGCAGCTGGCGGCGTAGCCCCGGTTCTTGAGCGTGCGCCTCCGCTGTTTCAGGCGGATGACCTCCTCTTTGGTGAGACCCCTCAGGTGCTGGTTCAGCTCCCGTACGGACATTGACACGAGTTCATCGTCACTCAGCACCGGGGCATTCTCTCCCGACTCCTCCTTTACCTGAAAATACCAATTTGCACAGCAATACAGTGGATGAAAAAGCTACTTAACAGCCCTCCTGACAAAAACAAGAGGACACCTCTGCTACTTGTAATGGATGCAGACCTGATTATTTGGTGCCTCCAAGCATGTCACAGATTAGGCATCCCACTGAAATGCAGCCACCATAGCAGATATTTCAGCATCATATTCTCAGGGTTTAGACACCATTGCAAGGTGTTCTGGGTCAACTTTACACCTATGGTGAGGCAGTGACAGTGATGGTTACCTTATTTGAGCTACAAGGCTTGAACTGAAGTGTGCCACGGGATTTACCCTGGTCCTGCCCCTTCATGAACACTGTGCCTTCCAGCCTTAGTCTGGAATCAGGACACACTCAGGGAGGAGTGAATGCCCGTCAATGCTACTTTCTGCATCTTGTAGCTTTTCTTTGGAGGTCTCCCATTCAAGTGTGGACCAAAAGTTACCCCCATTTGGCTTGTTAAAATGCCATCTGAAGTGGTTTTACTGGACTTCTGCACAGGGGAGTAATACAGCAGAAATACCCCTCCCTCAAAGTTTAAAAAACTTTTAGTTTAGCATAATCATTTGTAGAATGCCGCAGGTGGTGCTTTTACCCCTCTGGAGAATGAGGGGTTGAGACCCCAGGACACTGGAAGCATCTTTCAACAGACTCAAGAGTAAAGTTTGCAAGAAAGCTGGGAAGTGAGTCTGCCTACGAAACATTTCCTGCCTGAACACACTTGTAGGCAAGACCTTTCCCAGCATTTATTCTTCTTATGGTAGCAGCATCCCACTGTTGGGCCCAGGAACATCTGTTCCAGTATGCTGTTAACATGCTTCCAGTGCAGTCTGGTTATAAATGTCTCCCAGAGACTTCAGTCTTCCCCCACGATACAATCAATTCCCCTCTACTCGTCTTTCTTGAGCTCACCCTGCTGGTACCCAAGAGATATGCTGGCATCAATGTACCCATCTCTCAGAACATGGGGTGGGCACCATTGACAGCAATATACATATCTTGAGCAAGGCCCCTTCACCCATCCCATTTACCCTGTGTAATCCCCCACCACTCTCCCGCCATACCTTTAATGCCTTATTTGGTTTGGGATTAGTCGTCATAACCTGGGCACAGTCGCCTGGACAAAACTGCTCAGAAATTGCAACTGGAAAAAAAATTAAAAAACAAAACAAAACAATTCAGGTTACAATAAGATTAGAGAATGAAACATCACCAACACGTGTGTACACATTTCAAGCTAGCAGAACCGCATCTCTGGAGCACCAGGCAAAGAGAGGGGGCCACACAAGCGTTCATCATCCTTTGGGATGGCAGGAGAGATTCAGAGGGCTCCCATGCATGGCCAACAGGTGCCCTGTAAACACAGCTTTCTGAAAAGCCCCAAAGGTTTCCAAATTCTTGGTGACATTTGTGCCAGGAAGAGGAGGAGGGAGCCCAGTGCCCATTTGTGTATAGCTATTATGCTGGCAAGGCAGTGCACAGTACCCAACAGGCCACCTTGCCCAGGAATTCAGTCTCCGGGACCCAATCTGACCTTCGGCTCCCTATGGAGGCTTTGGGGGGATCCAGGTCCATCCACCTGAAACTGGACTGGGACCAGCAACCCGCTTCCCAAGACACCAAAAAGACCTAGAGGACAGTAGCTGCTCTCTTTGCATTCACCTAGCCCACATTTGAAATGGCAGCCCAGAGAGGAAAAGCCTCTCTCACTACCTGCCCTCCCAGCCACCCTGCACCCCAAAAATCATGGCTCAAAAAAACTGAAGAGAGGTGCAAAAATCAATTGGCGAAACGAGGGACGAGTCTGGCATCTCCCCAGGGATCGAGACTGTTGCTCCAGGATGCTCTCCCACCTCAGCTAGGAGGGGACCTGCCGAGGCCAGGCACATCCCCTCCGCCCCGGTGAGACGCTGCCCTTCAAGCTCACCTCGGCGGGTCGCTACACCCCTTCAGGCCGCGGCGCTGGCCCTCGCTCCCGAACCTTCACGCCCACCGAGCCGGAGCGACGACACTGCCGGAGCAAGCGCTCATTCTGCACCTACCACGGCCGAGGGCCCTGCACTGTGACATCACGGCATCGCCCTACACTTTCCCCAGCATCTTGGCTGCAGAAGCCGGGGCGGGCGCGAGGGCTTCGGCTCTGACACCGAGTTCGTCCCTCCCGAGGAGCGGCTCGAGCGGGTTTGGAAGGCTGCGGCGGCGCTGGGCGCACAGCGCACACAGACTGTCTGGCGGGACTTCGCCCCCCCTCCTACCCCAACCCTCCCCATTTCCACGTCTGCGTCGTGTCACACATTCTAATCATTCATGAAAAATCCAGCCAAAGCATCCCAAGCATGATTCCCTTCTGATAGTTGCCATGGTGACCTTGGGAAAGTAGCCAACCCTGAGACAGTCGCCATGGAAACAGAGAAGCCCAAAAGCAATAACGACTTCAGGTCATGTCTGTGCAAAGACATCACAAGATCGTCAAAGAGTAAACAAACTCATTCATGTCTGCAAACACCCCGGGGTGGGGGCGGCGGTGGGCAGCAGCGAGGGGTGGCGAAGGTGGGGTGGGGGGGTGACAGGAGCCGGAAGGATGCTGGCTCAGCTTGTATTTGAACTGCACCAGTCAAGACATTTCATCATCGGGTCTCTCTCTCTCTCTCTCTCTCTCACGCGCACACACACACACACGCACACACACAAAAATCAAGATAACAAGGGGTGAGAACAAGTGCAGAGTAGAGGAATTTCCCTGGATTTGAGCGCCTTTTTATTAAAGCACTTCATCTGGCTTCCACCACACTGCTCCATCTCCCGGCTGGTCTCTCCCCCACCCGTCTCGACTGCCTCCCATCACGCAGCGTGCGAGCCAGACCAGCGACAGACACTTTGTGATGAATGGGCCACTTAAAGCAACTGGTGTGCAGTGCCTTTAGCAGAGCACTGCACCGGGCCCAGGCTCACGCCTGGTATTAACCCCCCACTCCCCCCACCCCGGACAGCATCTCCAGCAACCGCCTCTCTCCTCCCCTGCAGCAGACTCGGTTCAGAGCAGCTAACAGCATCTGGGACAAACGGTAACTGTTTCTCACAGACTGCACGGTGCAACCCCAGCGAGCGCACTTGTCACCTGCTGCAGGGAGGAAAGGAAAGGGGGAAGCCGAATGCTGACCTCCAAGCCCTGCTAAGTTCTGGGTTTTTTGCACAGACGGCAGAGAAAGGGGCGAGCTCCACCCCCACAGATGCCTTCCCCTTCTCCCCCTTTGGACCACCTCCCCCTCGTCTCCCCTGTCACGCTTGGTATTCAGCATGCACCCCTGCCGCCGTCCTACTCGAGCCACAGGCACAAATACATTAGCGCGCAAAGGAGGAAGGAAAGGCTCCTGGTCTTGGCCAAATGATCCCAATGAGTAACGGGGAAAGCAGTGCAGAAAGGAAACAGGCGGTAGCCCCCTCCCTACACACACACACAGCCTCCGGCCTTGCAGTCAGTCGGTGCCATAGCTATGAAGTGAGTCACCAGCTGTTTACAGAGTTGGAGAGCTGCATTCCCACAGAACCAGAAACCCGCTGAATCCCCCCCGCCCCCGGCCCTAGAAGGGAAGGGGCACGCTGGAGTCCCACTGTCGGCACTTGGCAAAGCAAAAAACCGGAAAAGGAAAGTCAAAAAGGAGGGGAAGGCGGGGGACGCCTCAGTCACACCCACCGATTACACAAAAAGCCTTTTGATCCTCACCCGGCGTGTCTTCAAAGCGCTTTCTGCACCAGCCGACGGAAAAACTGAACACGCTGCTGGCTGCACGGAGATGGAAAGACATGTAAAACGCGGCGGAAAACAAGCGTGGAGGGCCGAGACTCCCTCCCGGGGGTTGCAATGCGGGTGAGCCTGCCACCCAAAGTAACACGGCTGCAATAGGAAGCGGCTCTGATTCCATGTGACAAACCCCCCTTCTGGTCACCTGTTGCTTTGTGTCTCTGATGGCTGCTGAAGCAATGCCTATTTACACTGCAAGTTCCTCAAGGGAGGCCCTGGAGTCCTCTGCGTTTCACACACTGCCAAGCACGCTGTCGGCACCTGACGAGCCGACAAGGGTCCAGGAAATTCAAAAACAGCAACAGAAATTAGAAACAGAAGCACGCTATCCTGGCCCTCCATCTCTGGGGGTCACTGGTACTGAACACCTTCCTTACCTCGTTTGTTTTTTATTCAAAGGCCATTTTGCTGACACGCTGCTGTACTCGAGGTATTGCACCAGGCCCAGGCAATACAGCAGAGTTGCTGCTGGGACAGAGGTGAAGGAGGGACTCGGATACCCCAGCGTTCCCAACTGGCACCTGTGCAACATGGGACCATTGGATCAGCAGCAGATTGTGCACACGATCGGCATCTAGACCAGCGGGTCTCGACCCTTTTCGTACCAGGGCCCGTTTGTAAACATCAATGGCCAGTCCTAATGTGCTGCCC